GTGTTTGCACGATTTATTTTATCCAGTGCAGATCCTTTCCATAACTGTGATACCATATCCTTCAGGAAGGCACAGTGCAATACACAGTGCATTCTGCAGAAAGTACACTCAACCTCCAAGGAAGCTTAGGTTAAAGAGCCCTCTGCTGAAACCTATGTTCTGTCACAAGCTTGCTCTGCTTCATAACTTCCCTTTCTCCTCCACCTCTCAGAGCAGTTGCATCGATTGTTCAAGCCATAACGTCATAACCTCCCTCTTTAGCTAATACAGTCATATCCTAGAGCATATTCACTTTAAAAAAAAAAAAAAAAAGAATATTTAAAACACTTTTTCTTCTGATAGTAATGATGCTCACTAAGTCCAAATTCCCCATCACCCAAAACAGAGAACCGTCTTCAAGACCTGCATTTAGCTACCCCGACCTACACCTTCGCATGCACCTAAGCATTCTTCAAGCAGAAATGAGCACAGCTGTTGCCAAAATTTTATAGCACATGTAATTCCAAGTACAAAACAGTGGTTAATGCTTTCAAGAAGTATTTTCCTAGTCTGCTTTCAAATATTTACCAACACTACATTTCTTTGCTTACTAGCTGCCTTTAAAATTAATGTTTTTCCCCTACTAGCAAATACAGATCTGTGCATTGCAGGCAATTTTTATTTAACATTGTTCAGCACAGCTTCTCCAAATTAGCAAAATATATCTTAGAAAGATGACTTTATTTCTGTGGAGTAGAAGAGTGTGGATGGTTCCGTATTTTACAGAATACCAATTAAAATCATTTTCAGTAAAAAGCTCAGTGAAAATGTAAAAGATGGGGGGGGGAGGGGGAAGAGATAAAAAGAAAACAACTGAAGAAGTAAATTGCACGTAAACTTTCCTCAGATAGCAACCAAAGAATAAAACGCAGTCATCTGACACAGAGAAGGTTAAGGGGACGAAAGAATGAATTGGGTGGACATGAAAAATTGAAGGAAAGACAAATTCGGAACTGATGTCAGGCCACACATTTTAATTGCGGAACTGCATGCCAGACATTAACACAGAGCCGGGGTCATTCAGAGAACGATCAAAGGGCACTTGGGGGACATTGGGCACTGGGGTGTAGCAACTTCCTACAGAAAAATCTTACTAGTCTTTTTTAACTTGTGCTATTGCTGGATCATTCAAAATAACTAGCACAAACTGTGCTGCTCCTTTAGGAGAAAAAAACCACACACATACAATGAAAATAGTCATACCATCGAGGCTGTCAATCATAAACAAGAAAAACTACAGGCATTCAAAATAAACTGCCCCTTCGGAGCGGAGGTCACCTTGTCAATATCAATCTTCTCATTTTGATGCACATTAAGAGCTATTGGAGTATCCCCTTTTATCCTATGACTGTGAATTGACCTTACTGACATTACTGAATACAATATGGTCATTTAAGGATGTGGTAATTATTGGTAACTGCACTAACTAAGTTAGTAGCACACAGGACACCATTGCTTTGGCTTGTATTGCCACCTGGTCTTTACTTAGATAGATTTGTTATTTGCTATGTCTTGACTCAAACTATGTTCACACTAGTTGTTTTTTCCACTGGACTCCCATGAAAATTTACACTAGAAAAAAGACCATTTTTCACCTGGAAAAATTAAAAAATAATAATAATCTGTTGCTTTACATGTTTTAAGTTAGCCTGTAAGAATTCATATTACATGAACACCTTTAGTTTTCCAGTCTGCAAACACACTTTTTCCAGAACAACATGTTTTAAAAAATAAGAACTGTTCAAATGGGAAACCAACTCACTGTGGCTGTATGTTGCCTTGTATGATCTTCTTGCTCATGAACAGCAAGCAGGTCTTGAAAGGAAATATTTTACATGTACTGCTACCTTTAGCACAGTATCAAAATGTTCTTTGCCACCTCACATTCACTCCTCATGCAAAAACACTTGCAAATGAATCAAACGGGACTTCTGTCAAAACATAGCATAGAAGGAACAATCAAAATTGAGTCAAAAAAAAAAAAAAAAGAGCTCAAAGAGCTCCTGTGAAATGTGTCACAGCTGGTCACCACAGAGGTGACAACACGCACCCCAGCACCTCTGATAACAGCTCAACAGAAGCAAAACCCTGCAAGATGCAGCATCCTTTCGCTGGGCCACACTTTACTTCCAGATCAAACCAACAGCGAAACAACCCATCTCCAAGACTCGAGATTAAGCAGGGCAGGTGCTTAAGATGTCTACGCATATATACATGAGCTCTTTTTTGCACGAATTCTGAGCAGCCACAGCCTTGTGAGCCCAAACATTGGCCTTGGGAGGACATTGGTCAATCTGGACACACACCAGCTGCTGTGCCACTGCTAAATGCGAGCAACAGCACTTCCTTGTACATCAGCTCCCCTTAGTCTGAAATCGGCTTTACTGATTTACTGGCCAAGATATATAATGTGATCACCATAGAGATGAATTTCTGTTAAAAGAAAAAAAGAAAATCAATAGTAGCTTGGGCTGGAAAGGAACCTTGGAATTGATTTGGAGATGACAAGCTGGGCTTAGGCCCAAAGCAAAAGATCCTGGCCAAACAGAGTCTAATGCTTTTAGAGTTCATTTAAAGATGACCCCAAATTAAATTTCCAATTGCAGGGGCCTAATTCACTCCAGATTGTTTAGCAATACCGCTAAGAAAAAAAAAAAAAAAAATCCTGACATGAATATCCTTCAGAGGTTTTGGAGTTCAGTTTAATAAATTTTTAATCAGGCGTTGTATATCCTTCCATGCTTGTTCACTTTTGTTGCTGTAGGTTGTCACATTCTGTTAAGCCTGAGGATCAATAAGGAGGCAAGCTCCTCTGACAGCTTGCAAACACTACTGTTTTCTTCACACTGTTTCTATTCAGTGCTTCTTCCTTCATAGATACACCCACATTTTTAAAAGCTATTGCTTTTCCTCCAAAATGGATACAAAAAGAGCGTAGCCCCATTTTAAACTAAGCATCTCACTTTGTTTTGCCACATCATGAGTCAAATCTGAGAGGTTATGTGGCTTTAAAGATTGCCATGCACTCATCCTTCCAGACTGCGGCAGCCCCATCACATCTGATTCATCTGCGGTGCATTCTTACCTGTAATCTGTGCCAGAGGCATTTGCTCCAGCAACTGTGTGAGAAGTGAAAATAAACCACACACTGACAACCTATCAAAAGGTCACTGAACCAGGTCCCACTGGGCAATGCCCGATGCACATTCAGGAAAAGATCTGGAGCACCAGAAGGGCAGTGGTGAGCACCTGTAGCTCAGCTGTGACCCAGAGTGTTTCAGCAGCCCCATCCAGGCTTGACTGGTACCTGTGCACGGCTGCCAATGCAACAGCCCTAGTGTTTTTGTTAAGTGTCACATTATAAAGATAATGGTGATGGAGAGAACAGGGAGCGAGGAAAAAGAGGAGATAAAGGTGAAAAACACTTCTTTAAAGTGAGCTACACTTGCTTTGATGATGGCTTCAATCGTGTCTTCACACACAATTAATGCTAGATTTTCACACTACCACTCATTTGGCAGAACATATTTAAGTCAATACAAAATGCAGATCTGATTTCAAATTAGCAAGATCACCAATGAATTATATGATGAGAATGATAGCAAGTCTGCGCTGGCACCAGGCTTTAGCATGCCACCTGGTATTCCAGATTGCACTGATCCCAGCCTGTGCTGATCCTCACCACCTGGTATATTGCAAAATGCCTTTCCTGCAATACTGCAAGGCTTTCTGAGCAGCCCTCTTGGAGGGAGAGCCCTTCTGTTTCCAAGGTCACCCACATCTCCAAGTAACAGCCTTGCAGAAAAGCTGCTCAGCTGGATCAGACCTTGGTTTGTATCTCAGCACTGCAAGAGCTGTACACTATTGTAATCTGCTGATCACCTACCCGGACACTGTGCTCCTTCTTGAAACCAAGAACGTTTCCTCATGCTCGCTCTGCTTTTAGACAACAGCTACAGTCCTCCTGGGCACGATCCGTGACAAGCACCCTCATTCAAAATCAGCATACATGCTTCTGCCTAGATTGTCATCTCTTTTCTGCTCCTCTGCTGCTGTAGCTTCACTTATCCAGCACTGAACATCAGTACTCCACAAGAAAAGACATGAAAGAGGGCTTGGCTCGACAGATAAATAACCCTTACAGACCCAGCTCCTTCCCTACTTCCTCAGGTCAGTTTGCACATCAGCTCATTGCTGTCCCCTTGTTACAGCTGCAGGGACACCACGAATTAAAGCTTGCCCAGACTATGCCCAATACACACCTTAGGAAGCCCTGCTGTTTGCTGAGTTGAGGATACCTTATGTTATACAATCTGAACAAGAGAAACAACTTTTTTTGTATGAACAGAAAATTTTGCTACCCCAAAAACAATGCAGGGAAATCTATATTACTGTGTTGAGCAATAGATTATTTTGCAACTCCAAACAACAAAACGACCAACCACACAGCAGAAGAAGTCAAATGCCTGACCTATGTTGACAGGCAGAGGGGAGTCAGGCAGGGTCCAGCCCCGCTTCCCTGCGGAAGCCTTCCTTTTAGCAGGAACAAGTTACTGCTATCGCTGCAGGCATGCAGCTCTGCATTGCCATTTATCTTCTTGAGAACTGACAGCACAAAGCTCCAGGGGTGAGGGACAAAGAAAAATGGACAGAAGCTACAAGCCCCAGCCAGGGCCCTCGAGGGGACTCCCAGGGGCACAGCCTGCAGAATGCAGTGCCCCAGCCCTTACCACCCACCCAGGGACACGCAGACAGCTGGGACACAAGGCTCAGGGAGCACTGCCATCAGCAAACCAGCCCAGGCCACCATCCCCTACCTCCACAGCTACCAAATACCAGGATTGATACAAAAAACAGCATGCATAGCTTAGAAAGTCTTTTTCTTATATTAACCAGTGGCTCCTAAGGAGGAGCCTACAAACACCAAAGAATCCATAGAACAAAGAATCCTTCTCACTTACCGACTTCCATCATGTCCTCCAGCTCTGGCAGCTTCCCCTTCCAACAGAGCAGCTTCAGCCACCTGTGGCATGGCAGCTTGGAGGCTGAAACACCTAAAAAACAAGGTGTAACTGGTCAGTCACCTTAATCAGAAAAGCCTGTGCCTCATCTGTAATACCACAGAGACCTAGAAAATTTTCCTGGGTTTAGCTAGCCTAACAGAGGTAGGTGAACCAAGGAACTGCCAGGAATACACAGAGTCTCCTTGGGCAAAACAAGAAAAGAGGGCAAATAAAATATTTATGGGTGGCCCTCTTTTGAGTTAAAAACAAAACAAAACAAAACAAAGGTACACAAAGTGGCACAAGACCTGTCAAAATGAAGTTAAATCACTGTGATTGAAACAAACAAACAAGTGCATATTTTAACAGATAGGATAAAGATATATGGAAGTAGTGCTTAGTGTCACAGAGCTATAGTGATCTAAATCCAGTCCCAGGAATGCCAGAACACATTGTCACACCGTTGCTTTATTTCCCACCTTGGCAAATGGAGATAATTTATGATCTTTCTGTTATCAGAGTAGCTTAAAGGCTTCTTATGCTAACACATAACAAGTGAAAAACATTGAGAGTCTTGGAGTGTAGGTAGAATAAAAATGCAAAATATATTAGCTTTCCACATTAGTTATGGCTGGAAGGAAAATAGGACGCTAAGCAGACAAATTACTTTACTCAGTATGGCAAATTATCCATTCCAAAAGGCAACTAGTGGCATGAAAATAATAAGTGAATGTTAGAGGGCATTAACAGAGGTGCAAGAACTCTCCACCATTAACAGTGTTAGTTTACGCTTTTAGGTTTACTGGAAATTAGCCATACCTCTCTAAAGCTTATCAACACTTGACTCACTAGAAATTGAAACTTGAACCCCCAAATATCAGCATCTCTGACATTTCATAATGACAAACCTTAAATAACATATACTAATACTTTTCCATATTGGTTAGGAAAAAAAAAAAAAAAAAAAAAAAAAAAAAAACACTGCTTCCAATCTACGGGAACAGTAGTTTCAGAGGCAAAACTCCACTTACCCTTGCCTCTCTTAATATATGCTCATTTGCTTCAATGAGGACATTAAAATTCAAGAGCAGCCAGATCTGTTTCACCTCTCCAATTTAGCAGAGCGGCTGCTTTGGAGTCACAGCTGAAACCCCAATGGCACAGACTGTCCTCAGCAGGGCACGCTGTGTACGTGTGACCAGCATACGCTCCAGCCCGAAGCCTGGCTGTGTGCTCGAAGTCAGTGAGGTGAAGCAACAAGGCAGGCTCTCAGAGACCCTGTTATGGGTGTGAATGGAGCAAGTCGTGTGATGTTGTGAAACACTCAGAGAGAAACAGCTTCTGGGCCAGGGGAGTGAGAGGCTGGGCGGGTCCTGCTTTATACAGCTAAATGAAGAGCACATTTCCCTAACAAGCCCTTTTCCCCCCTATAACAGTATGATGAATTAGGTTTAATAGCTGCTCCAGTTCACTGCTTGAGAAGATTAAAATGGTATCTTTCCGTTTTCCAGGAGCAAAAGACTGGATTGCGATCATTCTTACTTGCAAAGCCATCTGAGACTAACGGGCATCACTCCATCTGGGAGACAAAAATCTGCCCTTCCAGCTGAGACCGTAACCCCTGAGTATCGATCAAACGTCCACCTCCCTTCCACATAATAGAATTTCCCGGTGAGCTAATTGTTTTCACTCCTTTCATCTCTGTAAATGAGGTCAATGGCAAGGGCAAAAAAGAGAGAATTAGCTCAAAGTGTTCTTGGCTTCAAAGCAAGAGGAGACGCAGCTTCTGGATTTTGGAGTGTGCCATACAGGGTCTATTATAAACCACCATGGGACTTCACAAATATTCTGAATGTCAAATTGCTTCTGCTTAGGACAACGCTTGCCCCCAGTGCCTGAGGATTTACACTTCCTACATCTACTATTATTATCTGGCAGTGCCACTTGTGGGTCAACACTGGCCTTAATTCATGCTGCTCAATTCTTCCTACAGTGACCAGCTATCATCCACCACTCCTAAAACACCCTACAAAAACGCACAAAGCTTCACACCAGACACGGAGGTAGGCAAGGACCACAGCACTATCAGTGCCTCATCTTCACTGCCATCTTCTGCCTGGGGAGATGGGACCACATGGCACCGCCTGCCCCTGCAGCCCTGCTTTGTATGGGTGTAAGCAAGGCAAACTGGGGCTGTTCTGGTGCAAACAGATCTGAGAAGAAAAACAAGCATCAGGAAAGATGCACAAAACAAGGTTAAAGCCTAATCCTCAGGAAAAAAGTGGAATTTTGGCGCTCTCTCCCTAAGTAGCAATGATGCTCTAAGGTCTGGCCTTCAGCCCTCCTCCCATTTCACACACACCTTGCTTGGCCACACGTCCTAAATCGAGGCTTTACCCTGTGTGATACTGCATTTTCCCCTGTGGATGCTGAAGGAAGAGCTCAGCACCGAATTAATTGCTTCCCCACCCCTACAAGCAGAAGTCTGCAGGTGCCTGGTGCAGGACTTCAATCCTCATCTTAGTTAATTGTTCTGCCTGCAACAACTATGCTATAAAATAGTATTTTGCTGAAGCACTAATGGGTTCTAGAGGCTTTTTTTTTCTTTTTGGGGGGGTGGGGGTGTTCTTTTTTCTTTTTATGGGGAATCTTATTAAGAGTCAACATATCCCCTAGTTACTTGCAAGAAACTAAGGGCTTTTTTTTTTTTTCTGTTATCTCCTCTTTCCTTCTTTAAAAAGAATCAGTGTAACCAATTGTACTCTGAATTAAACTGCACCCATAAGTATTTTCATATTTTAATGTCTTCAGTCTCCTGTGTGTCCTAGTTTAACTGTTTTCTTTCCTCTTCTCTTATACAAAATGTGTCCTGGAATCAGTTTGTTAAAACACATCAGCAGAAGGAAGCTCCTTTGCCCAGGGTAAGCACTGTCCCCAGGTGATTTCTAACAGAAAGAAGAGCAGAGGGAGCTGATACCACTCATGACTAGGCACATGATATCACCCAGACCTCTGTGGTGCTCAAAAACAGAAGTTGGTTTAATCAGTGTTATCAGAAAGATTCAAAATTATGTTTATTTCTCCTATTTTGGGAAAAAAAAAAAAAAAAAAAAAAGAAAAAAAAAAAAAAAGAAAGAAAGAATAGAAGAACAGAAATCTAGAATGGAAAAGAAAGCATGCCACTAGCATAAACAGCTAAACTTCAGGTTTAAAAAAAAAAAAAAAAGAAAAAAAAGAAAAAAAAAACACTCAACTTGTATAAAGCTCAGCCTGCACTTCGCATATTCTTCCATTTCTGAGTCCCAGTACTGCCAGACTTGTAGCCTAAACACTGGCAGCAAGCAGTGGAGCCTCTGCCAAGCCCATGGCTGCTGCAGCACTTGCTCAGATGCCCCCAGGTTCATGCTGGTTGGTAACTGCCCAGGAATAAACAGAGCAGGGCGGAGGCCCCAGTAGGTGCACCTCGCTGCTCAGTTCTGGCCTCGCCAGACCCTGATCCCCCCGGTGTGCTGGGAGGGCAGGGTGGTGGGCTGCCGGCCACCACCTCCACCGGGCCCACAGGCTCCCAGCTCCGGCCACGGGCAAATTGCCAGCCGGCACCAACACTTAGACTCGCTCCCAGTCAGGGTAAGACAAAACTCCGTGGTGAAAGTCTCCGCGGTTTGCTGTTCTTCCCTAAGCACTAATGCTAAAGCTGTAGAAATCAGGTTTGCTTTCTGGACAGATGCACATTAAGCCAAGATCTGAATTTGTGGCCTTGGTACTGAAGAGACCTTCCAGACACCACAGCTCTCAAAACACACGGACAGCGCCCTGTCCGCAGGAGCTAGCCCTCCTTAAACAGATCCAAAACCAATTCAAGGCCAGTAGCGGCACAGCCTCCAGTATTTGCGAATCAAAACTGTTATGGGAATCTTCCTAACATGTCCGACATGTGTTTTCAGTGCTTTGTTGCCAGAAAGAACACCTTATAGAATGTAAAACTACCCCAAAAACATATGCAGATCAGCTCTGGGAATTATTTTTGAAAGTCTGTTCTTTCCTGGATGTGAGCAAAGGTTATTTTGTGTCTTGAATAGTCTAGACAGATGGAGCATCATGGGGGGAGGACAGAACTCGTGATCTGTTTGTTTCCTGAAGAACCTTTTGTAATGAACTTTGTAAAAAGGCTTTTTGTAAATCCAAGTGAATTAAACAGCTTAATAAAGCACTAGAATAAACAACTTATTGACAATTAGATTTTTTTAATTGCTTCAACTATGAATATCGGAAACAGATGAACAAGCAGGAAAATTTGGATAAAATGATTGTAAAATATGCACATTCCAGTAAGATGGAAATTAATTCTCTTCCAAAAAAAAAAAGTGTTTTTAATTTAAATCACACAAGCAAACCCATCAAAGTCAAGTTTTAATATTTTCAGGAATAAAGATCTCAATCTTTCTTTTCAAGCTAAGACCAGTGTCAGATCACAACCATTTATCAAGATCCTAAATAATTCATCTTTCCCTGTGTTGATTACTGTCTGAGATGAACAATGTGCCCTAGAAGCTATTGCATGATCTGTAGACCTCTGAATCTTTAGCAGTCTGCTTGTCTCGCTAATTTTTGAAAGAGTGTACAGCATTAAGACAACAGGCTAAAGGCTTGCAGAAAAACGAATTCCTACTAGGTAGTAGTTCAAAGAGAAAACCCAGTGAAGTGTATGAGTTAACATTTGTGTTAGCCAGTCTTTACATTGTTTTGCATACATTCAGGCTATAATCTTCTACTGTATCAAAAAATCTTGGGAAATCTTTCAGAGATATTATCCACAGATAATTTAAAATGAGGCTTAAATGGCGACCAGTATATAGACCGTTAGGAAACCACAAAAGATGAAATTAATAAATAGATGATACTGTAAATAATTCAATCTATTTGTAATATTTAACTTCTATGGACTGTAAGATTGTTTCATAGTTTCTGCAAAACCTGCCCTTAACAGTAAGTGAAAAATCATACAATAGCATTCCTCAGTCTTCTGTGTTTGAGTGGTGATTGCAGTGCATATGAGGGGCTAAGGCCACCATTCAATGAGGTAGTAAAAGCTACAACTGGCTCAATGAATTTGCCCCCACCCCTATCTTCCCATCAGTTTTTGCCAAAGCAGGTCACACACTGCAAACTGGAGCAGGGAATTCATCCTGATTTAAGAGTACCTCTCCACTTATTACTTTAGACTCCATGGATGAAGGAAAAAAAGCAGCATTAATTTGCGATTACAAATCAAATACTCATGTCCTTAAGGAATAGTCTGAAACCTTGGTTTTGGACCTAAGAAACCTGGCATTTAGCAATAGAAATTCAAAGCCAAAGAATCAACTTCTCCAGACTGCATCTTCACAGATGACCTGTCTCAGGTTCAGTGCTAAGTTACCTTCCTGCCGAGTAAGTTTTCAGTACAGTCTTCCAGAATATAAATTTTAAAACCTCCAAAATAGGGAAGTTTAACCCCACAAAAAATAATAAGAAAAAAGAAGGAAGAAGAAGGAAGAAGAAGGAAGAAGAAGGAAGAAGAAAGAAGAAGAAAGAAGAAGAAAGAAGAAGAAAAATAGATCCAAATATACACAACAGTATCTTGGAGAGAAAAAAATAGATGAAGGAAAAAGTTGTGGATATCTATCTAATTTTGATACAACCAGCATAGAAACGCTTAATGCCCTACAATATTAGCTACCCAACATTTTTAGTACTGGATGTAAGTATCTTCTTTGTACTAAAGAGAATTAATTTTATTTCCTCTGTTTCCTTCATTCAGGCAACTGCTTAATACTTTGATCTTCCATGCATTTCCATTTTCTCCACCAATACATTTCGTATAATTGGAATGAGCTGCTCTATTAAGCTTCTTAATAGATTCTATGTTCTCAAAACCCAATAACTTCAAGAAAATACATTAAAATAGACAACAAATTAAGCATGGTGTTTCTGAATGTGAGGCTCCATCAACAGCGACCTTTAAAGCTACAGTAAGGATGCTGTTCAAAATTGCTTGTGGAGAAACCAGTGCCTAATATGTCTAATTGCATTAGTTTGTTCCAATGCTACAGCACTCTAAACTCTTTGAAAGCAGTTTGTTGTTGGCTGAGAACAACTTACAGTCCTGATATGAAGAAACAGTGGACATGTGGGGATATCAATGAATTGCCTCAGAGCTGCAGGGCAAAACCTGACCTCTATTTTTAGCTGTATCACCTAGCGTAGACAAAGCCGTTTCAGCAGTGAAGTAAAGACTTGCTGTGGCTCTGTATATGCAAGCAACATCAAGCCATTACACATAGAACGAAAGTATTTTGAC